AGAAGTCTTGGTGCTGGGTTCTTAATTTGCATTTGCACTTATGTGGAGCTAAACAGCTTTTGCTCCCCGCTATGGGAATGTTGTTAAACACCTCTGATTCCTCATCTCCCCAGAACCCCAGCAATCCTTTGATTCCTAGGAGATAAATGAGTATGTTCCACTCTGGTTTTGGGATTTTCTTCCAAGCTGCTAACACACTTTTCTAAATTTTTGATTATAGGTACACATTTTAATCCTTTCACAGATATATTGATTACATGTCTTCCGTTAGGCATTAAGCTGAAGCTATGGCAATAAAGGATTTGGGTAAAGTTTCCTCCTCTAATAAAGCCATATTCTTGAAAGAGGATTGATATAGGAGACAGGTGACAGCATGGGCTGGATGAGTGGGTGGGACTACTTGTAATTACAAGATCCCAGGACACCACCAGGACCCACCCACGTGGAGAGCTCCTCACGGACCCACGAGATGTGGACTGCATACAAGGACACAGATGCCCTGAGGCATTTGCTCTCATAACTCTCCACGATAGCCCATCCCTGGGTCCCAGACCCACGGTGAACTGTTATTTTTGCAGATTTCTCTCTTTTCCTGTTTTGTTCAGCCCAAGTTTGCTCTGAAGAACCTGTTCTTCCCTTACCCCTTCACCTCTCACCTTTAAAATAAACTTATACCCATTTTTTCAAGTTTGACACCAACTGTTTTGATGTTGGCTCCAGTGTGGGCAGAGACAGTATACCAAGGTCACTGCCTGTGTGAGAGAGACTTTACCACAGTATAACTGAACCATATGTTGTGATTTCACACATATTGAAATATGAAAAGTTGCTCTACTTGGAATCAAAGAAATCAGGAATTTGGACCATAGGACTTTCTAACCCATTAGAATTTAAGATGAAGTCAAAGCTGGCACCCAAGTTTGGGGCCTGGGCAACCAGGAAAAATGAAATCCCCCATTTGGAACATGCAGAGCATCTTGCTTGGCCTGTCTGGCACACATCCTCCATGATAGGATTACTAACAAGCTGGAGGGAAAAAATTGAAAGGCTCATGTGTACAGCTTCTCCTTATTTTGTTGGATATATTTTAAAGGTAGTAAAACTGGCATGAAGATTAAAATATACCATTAAAATCTCTTCAGTATTGGCAGATTTTTGTTTATGTGTAGCCAATTTTATTAACAGTAATGGCTTTTCCATTTTAAAAAGTTTAAACAAAGTATTAGCCCTATAGGTTCAGGGGAGATTCCTTAAAATTATGAACTTGTCAACAGATCTAAAAATAAGATAAACTCCGATAAGCAGAAAAGGAGATCCTAAATTTTTGAAGTATTAGCAGTATCAGCTTTCTCTGATACTCCAGTAAATCATTCAGAGCATCTACAAATGGCAAGATTTTTAAAATTAATGTATGGGCCGGGGATTTAGCTCAGTGGTTCCGTGGCCTGCCTTGCAAGTGCAAGGACCCAAATTCAATCCCCGGTACCAAAAAATTAAAATTAAAATTAATATAGAATATAGAAGGCTATGAAATATACATATTTATATAGATTTTTATTTGTTGGTTTTTTTGTTTTGTTTTGTTTTGGTACTGGGGATGGAACTTAGGACCTTGGCCTTACAAGACAGGCAGCGGTAACCACTGAGCTAAATCCCCAGTCCTATGCCCTTTTTTAAAAGAAAATCTTTTACATACAATCCTTAGTGATAATTTTCTTGAGAAAGGCCATTTGTGACTTGTCTATGTAGAATGACACAATATCTGATCCCACTGAAAAGCTTGTTTATTTAACTAAGACAGAGGTTACCGAATTTTGGAAGCAAGCCTCTTAGAATTGCCAGTTGATAATCTAGAAATATGTCCCGGACTGGCATTTGTCATCCAATGTTGTTTGTCACAGAACAATGTGCTTTTGTGAGAAGGGACACCGAGGACTGCACCGCATGAGGGGAGCAGCCCCTGCCGCGCTGGCCACGTTCCTCCTCCCACTCGGGGTTCTCTAAAACAGTAGGTGGGAGCAGAAGAATCCCTAGAATCGCTAAGAATTCACCAGCGAACGAGACAGCCTGTTGTAGATATACAGTTTTGTTGCTTTTTATCAACATGTAGAAATTACAAATTCTAATGTTTTCCCACTCTGCTTTTTGTTAAAATCACCATTTCTTAAACTATGACCTGAGCTGGATCAGGTGACGTTCGCGGCTGATGTGTGAGAAAAGGTTTCCCTGGAGAAACGGGTTGTGTGTGCCCCAGGTCAGACGGTGAGGAGGGCTCCTTCCTCGCCGGGTCCCTAAGAAGCTACCGCCGCTCGTGGGAGCTGTGTGAGTAAAGGGACAGCGTGCAGGGCCTCCCTGTGCGTCTCTTCCTGGGTTCCTTTTTCAGGGAACATCTTGTGATATTCATAATCCATGTGCCCTCTTTGAGTCACTAGTCCGCAACCCGACGTGGAGCAAAACACTGAGAGACCCTTGAAACTTACTCGTAGAATCAAGTAGTGGTGATTTCCCGGTGAGCTGCCGGGGTCCATCAGACCTCCCCGCGACCCAGGCGTGGACTGTGCGATGCCGGCGCTCGGTTTGCCCTGGCGAGAGCCACAGCGGCGTCTGTCGGGCTCCAGAGGAAGACGCGCTTCCCTGGCCTCCCTCCCTCCTCCCGCCCGGCTCCTGGCCCCACTTCTTCCCGGGGCCCACAGAGGCTGCGGCACCAGCTGCTGCGCGCAGAAAGCTCCCCTTTTCCTTGGACTTGGACTGACCCGCGGATGCACAAACACTTTCTATTTGTAGAACTCCCATTGTTTTATCGGCTTTGAATTTCTTTAAGGCCTTAAACATTCACGTGTTTACGCGCGGCATTTAAGGCTCTAAGCCCTGGTCTTGACATTTTTGTGCGCCTTTTCTCAATTCCCCCTTACGCTTCGTTAACTCTTATATGCCACAAATTCTTAGCTTTCTGAAACCCAATCTTTTCTTCAACAATGCATGACATAAAAACAGCTATAGGGTGGTAGTGAGTAGAGTACTCAGCACTGCGGAGAGCCCAGTAAATGTAACCTTTTAGCGGCGAGGATTAAGACATGATTCTCCTCCTTCAGTCGCCAGGTAATGTGCCGGGGCCCTGAAGTGTTTAAAAGCACAATAAAAATAAACAGTCTTTCAGTTCCTATTCTTCAGAAATGTGGGAGAGAGGAAGAAAACACAATTTACAGAATGCCTGCTGTGTTCCGGGTAATACGTATCTGTCTCAGTCACCTTGCTGGGATGAAACACCTGAAACTCACAGCTCGGAGGAAAGGACATTTACTTTGCCTTAGTTTAAAAGGTTTCAGGCTGGTTGGCAATTCAACCACAGAAATGGCATGAAAGAAGGCTGCCACAGTGGGAGACTGCTCGTGTCCTGGCAGCCGGAAGGACAGATGTACCTCCCGACTCCTGTGGCCCCCTCTTCCCAGCAAGCCCGCCTCCTCTCGGCACACCCTCTGGGAAGCCCTCAGTGCAGCCATCCCACGACCCAGTCACCTTCCAAGCACACGAGACGCTGGGGATTCTTATTTCTAAACCCTGTCAGCATCTCTACCAGCGTCCGTCTGTATTTATGTCTATCCCCAGCAGCATGCTGAGGGTGTGTGTTGCTTTCCTTATTTTACAAACAAGAAGACAGGATCAGAGAAATTAGATAACTTCTGAGATTCGCTTATTTAACTAACTTCTCCCAAAGACAAGAGATAATGTTACAGTTTGGGGAAATTGGGTAATTTCGGTGTCTTTCATGTAAAATAAATTGTTCCAATGACAGAGTGATAATGTGTAATATTGCAAAGATGTAGAAATGGAGAATCCCTCAGAGCTTCCATATCACTGCTGAGTTTTTAAGCACTTAGACTTTCTAGGTGCCTTTCTGTCTGTCTGACTGTGGATTCCTCATTAGACTTCTTAAAGGCTGCGTCTCTTCCCCATAAAGTCCTCTTTGCCTGTGTCACAGGTTGTGGAAGCAGGAGTGAGTGGTATAATTTAGATGACAGTGAAACTCTGCAGTGCTATGTAAATAAAAGGCATTGTCACAAATGCATGGTGATATAATTGGGGTGCATGCAATCTACCTCTAATTTTCTTAAAATATTTGCTTCTAATAAACGGGCCCAATTAGTTTAAATATCATATGGTCTCTCTTATATGAGTGAACCCAAAATATAAATAAAAAGCAAAATAAAAGATAGATAATATGAGACAGGGAGATAGATCTTTGCAATCCAGAGGAGAGGGGACCAAGAGAAGGTGGAGGGGGTGACAAAGGAGCTGAGCTGAGCTGTGGGCGTGGAATGTAGTCCTCCCCACCAGGAATGTACTCAGTATGTACTGCCAGCACGTACTGATGAAAAACAAAACCTGAAAAAGGTAGTCTGTGATTCAGACAGTTTTCTAAAAGAGTCTTTTAAAAAAGAGGAGCTAAGCGTGAAGAAATGTTACTTACACTTTCCGGGCCATATTAGACACAGGGAGTATGCAGCGTAGTCAAGAGTTAGAAGGCAGGATTTCTGCCCTTCCGGGATCTTAAGCTTGAAAACAAATCTATTTTCCCTTCCTTCTATCTTTCCTCTTTATCCAAGTAACATGCCAGGGGGAGGTCCAAGTTCTGATGTAATAAGTTTATCCTTTGAACATTAAATTTATTTTTATTTTTTAATTCAATGCAAATGCTCTCATTCCAGGAAATCTGATGATATATAAGACCATTTTAAAATCAAAAAGGAAAACTTGTCAGTCTATTTTTCAACATATCAAAACACATATTTTCTTTCAAAGGCCAAATCTTCCTATGTTGACCAATGACTAGTTTCTTTACTATCTTTTATTTTGAGCAGTGTTGAAATTTTAATTTCCAAATACGGGCTTTCACATTTCAAACATGTACAAAAATAATTGTGAGCTTTCGAATTTTAAGTGGGGGTAATTAGTAGCTTTATGTCAAGTCTATGCTTCTAAGGCTGTTCTGCTTCTTCCAGTGGAAGACACCGTGGTTGCCATTCCCTATGGGAGCAGACACATTCGCCTTGTCTTAAAAGGACCAGATCACCTGTGTGAGTAAACTCAGCTGGGTTTTCTTGGGAGGGTGGTGGAAATTTTAGCCATTATTATTTTTGTTTCCAGAAGGGCTTAAACCCCAAGAGTGCAGATCTCCCCACTCTCTCATAGTGTGATCTTCTGAGTGCTTCTGCTTATCTCTTGGAAACATATGCAGTGATTACCTCTAACCACAGCCATCCTGAGAAATACAAAATAGATGTTCCCGGTGGGTTGTTCATGGGTTAAGTGCATGTTTACACTTTTGTGAATATTTTTTTTTATTCTTTCTCTTGTTTCTCTCCAATCTTTCTGTTGTCTTTTTTTTTTTTCTTTTAACTTATACTGTGGCTTCATGGGTTAAGTGCATGTTTACACTTTTGTGAATATTTTTTTTTATTCTTTCTCTTGTTTCTCTCCAATCTTTCTGTTGTCTTTTTTTTTTTTCTTTTAACTTTAATACTGTGGCATTTAAAGCCAACTGTTGCGGGGTAATGAAGTCTGCTATGTATGAATTCAGGAGCCTCCAATCTTGAAATTCAAGATTAGAAAGTAATAGGAGCCCAAAGATCAGGTGGTAGCTTGGGCCCTGTACAGAGACTGACTTTCTGTCATGCCGAGGCAGTGGTACACAGCCACATTTTTGTACTGTTTTATGCTGTTTAGATACAGACCTATAAATTCTAGTGAGAATATGGTAGGATATAAACAAAGGTGAAGATGTTCTAGCAGTTCTGTGAAGCTCAGGTTCACGGAAAGGCCCCCCTGCAGCTGGCCCAGAGCACTTCTGACCTCATGCAGGCGGAGTGTCCCCGGGGGCCCACGAGGTCTTGTGTCTCTCTTCTACCACTAACAGGCCTATGACACTGCTTTAGGCATCAGGCTTTGATTTTTTGGCAATTGGATTATAAATGAAATCATGCTAGAAAGAAAAACAAGGGGGAGGCAAATCAGAGCCTGTGAAAATATCGCTTTTATAAAAATAAATACATAGTCTTTCTAAAAATAAAAACATATATTTTATCGACGAGGTGAGATGGGAAGGGTCATGTGAAATAAAGGAATAAAGAGGGTACAGTTTAAGCAAAACCAAAAAACACTGATAAGTCTCCTTATTTGGACCCAAGTTCTTTTTGAAGCCTGAACAACCCCATAAAATAAATATTCATTTGTCAAAAGATAATACATGAGTATACTCCACTACCATTTAAATGATTTGTTTTTCCCCTTGAGAATTACACAAAACTGACTGCTGGTGAAATGACCCCACTCAAAAATAATATCTTTGTGAGCATTGACAGATACCGAAATAAAATATTTATGACAAGACCATCACCCAATCAGGAGATGAGCCCCCGTTGCAGATTTAAAAGAAAAATTAATTTTCATAAATATATTAGTCTGTCATAGCTGCTAATTATGTGATCACCAAGAAATGGAACAGTTGGTTTCTTTGGTTTAATCATCCCAAGAGCTTGATGGGTAAAGCCACAAATGATAATCATAAACGAAGAAAAGCAGTATGAGGTCTGCTTTTTTTCCTCCTGCCAAGGTGCTGTGGGTAGCACATGTGTAGCTAAAAGATATTTTCCTTTGTTTTGTTTTTCGTTTGGCCCATGACTCGGCAGAACGAATGTGGAGTAAAAGGTGCCCTGCTCTGCTGCAGCTCCTTTGCCCTCCATTTTCAGAAGTGGGTTCAGCATTCGACTGACTGAACATTTGGGCCCAATCAGAGCCAGACCAGGCAATCCGATCCAGCCTGCTCATCTTTAATTGGCTGTACCTTGAGGAGGACGGCTGGGAGGATCTGGATAAAGTTGAATCAGATGCTCAGATCCAGGCGTAGACCCCCAGGATGACTCAAAGACTAAGTTAATTCATGTCCTAGAAATATTTCTACAACTGCATGCAAGGCAGCTTTCAGATTGAAGACTGGTTGTAGGCAATCAGGGCTGTGGCTCTCTTCTGCAGACAGTGACTGATGTCCCTGCTCCAGGGTGCCCTGATGTGTCCTGTGTGCTCCTGTAGGGCAGGGGCGTGAAGCCTGGCATGCTCACAGCATGGCTCTAGAGACTTCATCTGAGGGTCTCTGTGCATTTAACTGAACACCAGCACTTCCCACCTGTGAGTATTCCTTAGCGTAGAGAACTCCAAGTAGAACAACTCTGAGATAATGCAGTACAGACACCTCAGCACTCTGTTACCCCTACAGCTCTTAAAGTAGTTGTTGACCCAAACCCTAAGCTATAAGATATGAGTTGAGCTATTCTGATTGAAGCTGGAGTAAGAAACTTAGAACCACATTGAGCACTTGATCTTTCTACTCAAAACCTGCTGCCAAGACCTAGGGCTCTACTGCAAGTTTTCAAAACATTAGCCTTAGTCCAGCCATCTTCCTTCACACAGCAGACAGTTATGCTCAATCACATGAGAACTCAGTGTTCTCTGGCATACACACCATAGTCACCACCATCTCCCAGATGTTCTGACTTCCTGCAACAAATCCAGATGTGAATTCTCCTAGAATCAAATTCTCCTTTCTGTCTTACGCGCTTATGAAACATCACACATATGCATAACACCGAAGTATCAAAATGATATTAAAAAGAGGGAATCCTGTAAAGGGTGGCCCTTATTCATAAGCCACCAGGGTCTTTTTGAGTGATAAGATATATGCAGTAAGCAACCCAAAAGCATTAAAAACAAAGTTAATACATGAATGTAGTGACACAGCTTCTGAGACAGCTCAAAAGTACACTGGATCTCATAGTGCAACAGAAGAAGACTGAAGAGTATCCCAGGCCGCTGGCCATCAAGATGGGAATTAGTAAGATACCACGTACGGCCAGTGGTTTAGCCAAAGGAGCAGTGCTGTGGTGAAGTGGAGAGAGAGTCCTCAGATAAATTCATCTGCAGCCTCAAAGACTATGAACAGGGCTCCTTGATTGCTTTGGCTGGTGAGTTTTAAAATCATCTCATTTGTGGCAAAAACTCCAGCAATATCTAATGTTTTCTGTATATCACAGTTTCAAGTTTGTCAGCCACACAAAGAATGATACTTCTTCTTTACACACTTTGTTGCATGAACAGTACTTGCATATGATCTATGATCTATGGTAGCCCTAGGAACATCATTCTCTCCTCTTTATGTTTTTGAATATATAGATCTGGAAACCAAAACACTCCAGGGGACTAAAGGTGAAAACAGTCTCAGCTCTACAGGCACCTTTCTTGTGGACAATTCTAGTGTGGAATTCCAGAAATTTCCAGACAAAGAGATACTGAGAATGACTGGACCACTGACAGCAGATTTTATCATCAAGGTGAGTGCCTTCAGATAGCTTATGTTCAAGCTACGTCAAAATGAGGTCCTGAGAATCTTCCAAAGTGAGAGAGATTCTAGGTTTGGCTATGTTTCAGCTTTTTGTCACTGTGACCACGATACTTGACACAAACAACTTAAAGCAGGAAAGGTTTTGGCTCATGGTTTAGGAGGTTTCCACTCATGGTCAGGCATCTCCATTGCTTGAGGCCTGTAGCGCAGAAACATCATGGTGGAACAGCATGGCATGGGAAAGCTGCTCACCTCCTGACAGCCAAGAAGCTGAGAAAAATGGAAAGGCCTCCAAAGCAGGGGACGAAGACAGGATATAGGGCCCAAGAGCATGCCCCATGACCTGTTCTGTCAACTAGGCTCCACTTCCTCAGTTTTCATTGTCTTCCTATAATGCCACTGAACCACGATCTTATCAGGGGACTGCTCTGCTGATGAAATTAAAGTCCTCATGATCCAATCACCTTCCAAAAGCCCCATTTCTGAACACAAGACTTTGGGGAACATTCTAGATCGGAATCCTACAGCATAAGTTTGGCAAACCTGTTTATTATCCAGAAAATGTTTCATTCAAAGGTGTTGAATTAACTATATCTTAAACTTTATCAGAACCTAGGATAGACATATACATATTCATATCTGCACACAGTGGGGGGCATATACCACTGAAGAAGTCAATGTGGCATTCAATTAGGGTACAGTCACTGACTTACATAAGGTGTACCCAGAAAAAGAGAAACACAAACTGGTCAACTAACACTTCTAATGGCAAGTTCTGCTTACTTTTTTATTGGCAGCAAAACTAATTTGTTTCCTTCAATCAGAGCTTCCCTACTCTTTGAGGTAATATAAAACACATTGCTGGAAGCAACCAGCATATTCTATTGGAAAAATGCACATAGTGGGAGAACATTTGGGAATCACCATAAAATGAAACATATTTTTTTCCTTCAGTAGGTCAGGAAGACCTGAAGGATTTCAGCTGTAAAGCTGTAAAACTTGTAATGTGTCCAAGACTCCATAATTTTTTTTTTCATATGGAACTTGGAGCCAGAGGACATTTGATTTAAGCTAAGACTAGATGACCCCATGGCAGCTGGAAGGAGGAATACATATAGAAAAATGTGATAGGCAGCGAGGTTGGATAGAAGAAGGGTTCCAGAATATTGTCTTCTGTCTGCATGTGCTTGGTAGCTGTCTTTAATCCAGTCCATATGCCAGCCACATGAACACAGACAAGACGCTACACAGCTAGAGATAGCTTAAGAGAAATGATTCTGTGAGTAAATACAGGATTTCCATCAAGCAAGCAAATCCAGTAGGGAAGTGATATATATTGTTTGAATACTGTTGAGCAGACCATCTATACTATAATAATTTATCTAGTGTTCCCTGCAAAAGCTAATACCCATACTGAAAATACAAAATTGAAGTAACAGTATGCGCCTTTGAATAGTTTGTGGCATTTTCCGGTGAATTTCATCTCCTGGTCACTGGATGTCCTGGGGGCATAATGGGCTCAGCATGTTTAAAACTGAGCTTGTCTAGCTCCAGAAACCTACCTTAGCTTCTTTCTTTCTTATCTTGTTGATAAGAAATGCACCATTTATCCAGACATCATAAACCCTTGGTTGACCCTAATTTCCCCTTCTCTTCTATGTCTCTGGTCCAACATTAGGCTGTCAGTCTACCTCTCCACCACTTCATGACCATTCTCTCTCCTCCTCCTTGCGACCTATGTCTTAGTTTAGGTCCTTGCATTTTCTCACCTGAGCTGACACCATAGATTCCGAATTAGCTTTCCAGCCTCTGTTATCTATGCTGCCTTCAAAGGAGTTTTCTAAAACCATAAATCCCCTTTGCATAATCATGCATAGTCCCTCAACTCTACTTATAGCTTTGCAGTTCAAATGAACGCCCGTAGCATCACATGTTACTTTTGATAATCTGGGTCCCGCTACCCTCCCACCCTTTCACTTGGCTTTGTCCCCCCTGCTCCAGCTGGGTGATTCTCAGCCCCGCGGCCCCTTCTCTCTCCACACTCACTGCCTCTGTGAGGTGCAGTCCTCTCTACCTCTTGAACCCTCTTCGCTAATTCCAGTTTGTCCTTCAGGCTTGCTTCCTTCCAGAAGCACTCTATAAATTCAGCCCCATCGCTGCTTCCAGTACACATCCCTTTTCTATTCCCAAGGGAAGGGCCTCTGTTGTTTGCCTTCATGTCTCCATCAGCAGAAACCATGAAGCACCGCCAAGCGCTGGGTGAGTACAGAACTTTTCTCACACAGCAGTTGTTTAAGATGAGCGGGTGCTGACCCCTCTGAATTGCCCCCAGGAAATGTCTTGTGTGAGCTCACACACTTGGCCAGTCAGGAGCAGGTTCATCTCTTTTCTGGCCCAGAACTCCTTTCAGTATTATTCTAATAAGAGTACATGATTTTCTTCTAAGATTTCCTTAGAAAATGTCAGGAATCCAACAAACATAAAGTTGTTATGAAATAGATTGCGTGAAATTTAAAATGAGTTTACATAAGCTTGAAGATTGTTTTAAAATGTACAGAAAAATAAAGGTGAAAATTGTCCTATTTCAGTGATTCAAAATGATTTTTTCTGATTTTTCCTATGAAAATAAGATTGCCGTTTAATTAGTTATTATTTTCCATGATTCATTTGTTTAAAATTATACACAGTATATAATTTAGCTTTTAGCATCAAGAAAAATATAGTCTCTTCTGTATTATTATGTATTAATGGCATATAATTATTAATATTGATTATCTTATTATTAGATCCTCTTTATGGATTCAAAAGGCAGAGTATCTAAGTCTCAAACCAATTTGACATTAATACATTTCATTAAAATCCTGAATATTCCCAAGTGCAAGGTCCTGAGTTCGATCCCCGGTACCAAAAACATACTGAGTAGTGTGAAGATAATGATGCACAGTGTATTAGCTGTTGTTATTCTCTTATTAGTTGCTTATGAAATTTTGTTCTATTCTTTCATGAAATTAAAACATTTAAATTACAGCACAGTGAAATCTTTCTTCAGAGCAGCATTACGTAATGGCAGACCCCAGTCCCTCTCTTCACACATCTGCGATGGGCCCTCCGGTGATTACATGCGTTGGCTTTGTGAGGAGTGTGCAGGGCAGTGTGCACTCTGACAGGGGACGTCATCCCCTCTGGACGTACAGTGCACCGGGGAGGGACTGCCGGATCATACCACAGTTTTAGTTTTAGCATTCTGCAGAAGCTTCATGCTGTTTTTCATAGTGGTTGCACCAGTTTGCATCTCACCAGCAGTGCAAGGGTTTCCTTTGTTCCACATTCTTGCCAACGTTTATCTTTTGACTTTTTGGGAACAGCAGTTCTAACAGGTGAAGGTGATTGCTTGTTGTGGCTTTGATGGCATTTCCTGTTGCTTAACTGATGCTGAGCATTTTTCTCACTCACCTGTTGGACATTTGTATCCCTTTTCTTCCTGCAAAACATCAACTCGGATCATTTGCCTAGTGTTTTCATTAAGATGTTTATTTTCTTTTTATCATGTTGTGTTCCTCGTTTTTTATTTTTACTCCTTTACACATCAGAAACTCTCATTTAATGAAAAATAGAGATGATGTGGCAGAATCAGGGCGTTACATGCCATGCCTTCATGGACATAGAGGAGCATCTGAGATTAAATAGTAATGGCTTTTGCTTTTACAAAATGAGACCCTTTTTTAAAAATAGATTTTATTTTATTTCACTCCACTCCCAGGTGTGAGGGTGATCTGATCTGGCTGTGACACAATGTGATCATGGCTGTGGCAGGCCAGTCCCCCCACCCCGCTCCAGTCTCGTCCCCTTTGGAGAGGAAGACCCCAAAGAGGAGGGTACAGGAGTAGCTGTGCTCCCCTGCTAGGACCTCCAGACAGGCTCTCAAGATCCATTTCTGTTGTACGACTTTAAAATTTATTTTATTAGTGCATGTTTGCAGTCCATAAAGTTTACATTCATCTTAGCAACAGGCACATGGACTGAACATATCTTGATTCTTTCTACTCTCCTTCCCCTGCCCTCTTGCTTCCTCTCTCCATCTCCGATCACCCTTCCTGACCTTCATTTATTTTTTTGGTTCACGTTCACAACACATAATGGTTGCACTCGTTGTGAGTAGCTGCCACAGGCACCCTTCTTGCATATGTGGTACGCAGGTACGTTCTCCAGCCCGTAGGTTGTTTCTTCACACGATCCATTGTTCTGCTTGCTGAATAGAAACTTTTTTAGTTTGACATAATCCCTTTTTTTTTTCTTTTGTTCCTTTTGCTTTTGGGGTCGTATCCAAAAATCCTTGTTTAGACCAAACTCATGAAACTTTTCCCACTGTTTTTTTCTGGTCCTACATTCAGGTCCTAATTTTTGTATATGGTATGAGAGGTTTTTTGGGGTGTGGTATGAGATAAATGCTGACTTTTATTCTTCTGCCTATATATATCTGGTTGTGCAACCCTATATATTGAAGACTGTCTCGTCCCTGCTCTGTGTTTTTTGCAACTTCCTCAAAAATCAGTTGAACACATAAATGCCTGGATTCATTTCTAGTTTTCCTGTTCTGTGCCATTGTTCTGTGTGTCTGTTTTTATGCCTGAACCATACTCTGCTGTTCTGATTACTATAGCTTTGCAGTGAATTTTGAAATCAGTTAGTGTTATGCCTCTAGTTTTGTTGGGTTTTTTTGCTCAACTGATTTGGCTTTGGGGGATCATTTATGGTTCCATACAAATTTTAGAATTATTTTTTTATTTCCATGAAAAATGTCATTTAAAATTTGAAAGAGATTATATTGAATCATAGATCATATTGTATATCATGGACTTTTTATTGTTATTGTTTTTTATTTTTGGTACCAGGGATCAAACTCGGGACCTTGCGCTTGCGAGGCAGGTGGCAGAACCACTGAGCTAAATCCCTGGCTCTATTATGGACATTTTGAAAATACTAATTTTT